TGAGTATTGTACAGTCAACACGTCAGCTTATCCAAAACTAACAAATTTCAAAAGATGATTTGATTTTAAACCACCTTGCAAAAATTTTGTAAAGGTTTTGCATTTTGTGATAATCTGATGTACCGCTGTATCTACTACTTGCTAATATATATTTTTATATTTTTTTTTATTTTAAAACAGAGTCGCAATAACTATTGAGATTCTTAAGAGAATTTTACGTGAAAGAAAAAGGAAAAATATCGACAATAATTCATCTGCAAGTCACACATTATTTTTTTAGTAGCCAACGAAACAATTAGCCGTACGCTTCTTAAAATAAAAAGAAATATTTACAATAGCTTACTAATTTCAGGAAAGTCCTCAAAGTGTTTACGAAAAAAATATAATAATATTAACGCGTTAATAAATAAATAAATATCACCAAACATTTAAGAGTTCAAATATCTTAGAGATTCAGCATTAATTTACAAATCACAGTATCACAACTAAGTAATTAGTTAAGTACCAATTATACAAATATTTTGTTCAAATTTCTTAATTTTAGTAACTAACGCTAAGCCAAATATTAAATGAAACAACACCTACTTAAATCGTTAATTAATTTGAAGGCACAGATAATAATCACTTTACGTCCATCGGCAGTTTTACAAATCTAGTAATCTTACAAAAACATCAAAAAATTATACGTTGGAGGTTTTTTTTTTTAATTTAGTAATAATCGGTCAAATTATTTAGTAGCAATAATACATCCGGTAACAAACCAAGACAAAACGTATTTGTCTGGACAATTGATACTTAATAAAAACTTATATATGAGATATGTTCGACCAAGTTTTATAGAGCTTTATAGATACGTGGCGTCATCCATATATTACGGCTCTTAATAACTTTTACCTCCCTCTATAAGTAAGAAAAAAAAATCCCCTCCCACTGTGAATTAATACGTCAAAAAATGAAGGAAAATAAATTAATAATATTTTTTAAATTGATAATCACCAATTTTAAGAAAGTATTGTAGATACATTATATTTTTTATTTAGTCTATTTTGGTGTGATCTTACGTAGACCCCTCCTCCGACGTGTAAGAAAAAAGACATACCCCCTAAAATATCTTACGTAATAAATGGATGATGTCTGTTTCATGGTATTGTAAGGAAGTCTATCATCATATACCATGTCTGGCATATCCAAACACAGGTACATACTAGGAATTATAACCTAAGCAGTCTTGAGACCCGTGAGCTTCTATTATTATTTAGATCTCACCCTTCCGGACCTAAGGACACCGCTGTGGGTGACATTGGAACTTTAATTCGAACCTATGGCACCCCCAGTCTTCAAATCTATTACAACAGTGTACCAGTGGTATCAAAAGTTCTATTTTAGTATTTCCCATGAAACCACCGAACGAAAAGTGGATCAGTGATGGATTTATCACTGTCGATAAAAATAAATACTATGCTTTAATTTTAATATTTATTTAAGGCAATTTTTCTAATGCGTGACCTAATATAATTTCGTGGTTCAGAAATTGCAATAGAATTTGCTCTAATAAATCATCATTATTAATGTTTGTCCTTTTCGTTTTTTAGGCACTGCATTCAAATTGTGGATATTCTGCATTATATTTAGTAAGCACATCACGGTAACAGTATTTTTATTGATCACTGTTTAATTTGGAGTGGTAACCTTCGAGAATGTTATTCGTCCTATGACGCTCTCCAAAGACGCTAAAAATCGCAGGTGAATGTACGTTGAGACCAAATCTTTCTATAAAATTGATAAATTTATTCATATCGACAACACATTCGGATTTGACATATTCAAAGGTTTCTCGAATATTCTCAGAAGGAAGAAGTGGTAAAGCTGCTGTTAGGTCCACAATTCTTTTTTCAGCCTTTATTTTTGATTGCCCCAAAGACTTAGCCTAACCTAACCGAAAAAGGTTAGGTTAGGGTGACGTTAGCTTCACATTAGAGATAAAGATAAATCATAATATATTACTAGGTAATATAGATTATTACATTCAAGGCACTGCACTGTACTAATTAAACTAGGGGTGCCATGGGTCCGAATTAAAGTTCCCATGGCACCCCCAGGGGTGTCATCCAGGGAGCCTTGGGTCCGAAAGGGAACTCACTGACAGATTTTCAAGAAGTAAGAGTTTGATAGACAGCAATCTTTTGAATGTACTTTGCTCATGAGAGCAAAGGCCATACAAAAAAATATTAAATCCTCAAAATGATGATGGAACGGAAGACATGATATACTCCCCAGGAAATGGTGTTAAATTTGAAATTGAAATAAATCAATAGTCGTCGATTATCATACTTCAATGCAGCTTAATTACAAGAAAAGAAAAAAAACATTGAATTGAGGGTCAAATTACCCACTTTAGCTGAACATCAAAATGGGACAAATTAATAACAAGCAAATCTAAGAAAACTTCGATATGTAATAAAAAAAGCATAGAAACTATATCATTAATTATACTACTTATATTTTTTTGTAATTAACAAATTGCAGATCATTAAAAAAACCCTTTTGGGCTACACTAAGGAGAAATGCTGCAATTAATAACATTTACCGTTAGTATGACCTTCTAAAGGTATCTACAGAATAAATATTGGACTAGATTAGGTATAAAGAAAACAATTGAAGGCAACAAGAGTATAATGATGTTAACTGAACAGTATCCTGCTGCCAGGGCCTGCTGTGGGGCAGTGGCAAGTTTTCCCACTTCTCCTCGCCCCAGAACCGGCCATAATCAACAATATGGTGAAAAAAAAATCATAAATGTCATAAAGTGCAAAATTATGTTGATATAAAATTCTCCTCACTGAGCCGAAAATCTAATCTGAAAAAAGTCGAAAATCTGGGACTGGTTCCTCTAAAAATTTAAAAATATTCTTCTTAAATTCAATTTTCTTCAGAAGCGCTCGTAGAAAGGTGTTTTTAGCTCGTTATCTTACGAAACATTTTCTGGATTTTACATTTACTTTTATATTTGAGGTACCGTTTAGCTTATGAGGTCAGTGTAAATGTACAAAACTACATTTGAATGTGCATAAGGCAAGTCCATGAGCGCACTTTTAGATTTGAATTTATTTGAAAAATGGTGCTGTGAGAGGAGTGTCTGTCCGTCACAATTTATATGTCATACCACTATTTAAGTCGCATCAAATCAACTACCAAAACTTTTTAATCCAATCACATTTGTTATCTACTTTTGAAAGAAGGCGTTTATAGTATTGGGCGTAGTATCTTTCATTATTTCTGGCCATGCTTAAACTAGGACCAGTTTCAGTAGATCCGGACTACTTTCTGATTTTATATATTGAATTGGAACGGAATTATCTCACCGTTAAATCAATAGTACCTTAATCGGAACGAACGCATTATCCTAAAGAATCAGTCATGGTAGTTAAACCACCATAAATTTTCATATTATTTATAAATTCTTATGGACATACCACATAACGGTACGACCGTTCTACATTAACACCGTAATTCTCAGATTGTTAACATAATGGTATATGTGCCTATCCCTTAATGATTTACGCATGTGATTCTACAATCAAAGGTGCCAGTGAAAACATAGAAATTAGAACGGTTTAATAGATACAAAAGTAGTAATGTATATAATAAATTATAATATTATTTTATATTATTATTGTATATTATATAAATAAAAAAACAAGGACAAAGCTCAAATTATAAACAATAAAAATAAAATAAAAAATACGGTGATAGAATGCTATCCACGTACAACCATTTGGCAATAACAAACTACTAGGCCAGAGTAGGCACACAATCTGATCGATTCCAATTTTTATAGTCACCAATATCTTTAAGAATCGAGAAAATAGCTAACCATTTATAATTTTACGCCGAATCTTTTGCAAAATAAGCAAAAAAAACGAGAAAATATAAAAAGTATATGGAAATCAATCGATATATTAAAATCCTATATTTTTACCGAACTTTTGTGATGGCAAAGTAACAAAAATAAACCCCAAGCAGTTTTTGTACTATGAACTATCATATACTGTATATGAGACAGGTATAAACTTCATAGACGTTTTTTGTAAAGTTCTTTTTAGTTTTTTTTTAATAATTTTAAACAATCTATACAATCGGTTAGTTTTTAAAAGCTTCCGTTATCTTTATATTCATTGGGATTTATGGGACACCCCGAAAAATATATTTTATTACTTTCATCATAAACCAATTCGCTGTTGTGTAACCACCTAATACGTTCTGATAATGCACAGGTTTAAAAAATGTTATCATAAAATTACTAAGACATAAATGGTTATCATTTCTAACTCGATTTATCGCAACATGCCGTGTGTCTATATATATAGGTATGAGTGGTCCTAATTCTCGCTTATGGTCTATTTAGCAATAATAATAAAAGTCTGATACTCGATGTAATCACTCAGCACGGCAAACATGCACATAGCAAGTTAGATTAACTTCTTAAACAATTTAAATATCACTAATATGAAAATAATTTCAAAACAGGAGCACCAAAACTCACTTTTTTAACTACTTACAGTTAGTTGCACAAACGTCCATTAAAGTTTAATGACCCCTTTAAGTTCTAATGAATGCCAAATTTGTATCGGTAATGTCGCTTTAAATTAAGGAAAATTTTAATGGACGTGAGTGCAATTGGCTGATAATGATCAACAATTGACTCTTCATGATATTCATTCGACAAATAACTCGAAAGAATTTAAATAAACAAAGAGGTAACAAAGATTAAACATGGGTGGTCTACCCATAAATATGTTTGTATAAGATATACTAATTAAAAAATAAAAATGCAAACGATTTGCCTGTCAAATGTGAATAACAAAAAAAAACTCAATATCTTTTATCTCAACCTCCTGGGTCCTTGGACTGGTCAGTACTTTTCTAAAGCTCCGTCCGTTCTGTCCGTCTGAGGCTAAAGAAGTTTACAAAACGCTGTTCTAAATTAATTTTAACGGCGTCAAAACTTGTCGAGATTGTTGCACTACAAATCACAACGACTCATACGCAATTTTCTAGATAAAATGTTAATATTTTAAGTATAATATTTTAGGTATAATATATATGTGCCACAATTTTGTGGGGTGAACAAGTTAAATATACTGAACAACTTGTACTATGGGAGCAACACTGAATTCACGAAAATATAATCAACTGTTTCATACTGTTGGCGATTGTAAGTATTACAATTTTCTACTAGTAAAAGTAAAACTAGTAAAAGTTGTTCAGTTATATAGCAGAAAGTAAATATTGTACCAAGACTTGATGGTCGTTATAAGGATGAAGTCGAGAACGTTTTGTCTACAACCAAATGTCACTTTTTTAGGGTACGCCCATACGATAGGTAGATACCTATTTCGGGTCTACAAATGTCAATAGTTACCCATTTATGTTTATAGAATCATACCAAAAGGACGCTCCACTACAACATGGCCACAGTGTGGAGCCGGTGTTAAAGCGATTGGCGATACCATGACAGAGGTAAACGAGGCGATCTCAGTTTTCACAGATTGTGTGAGACATGGGTGATTTTGGTATAAGATATCATGGTAATAAGAAGATAGTGGTAATACCTGGCATCGTGGCTATAAGTGTGATGTTATTGATTATGATGGTAAAAATGACTATGGGTGATAGAAGCAATAATAATCTTGGTTATGAGTTAAGAGTCTGTGACAATCACCCCACCTCTATGTACACTTTTTATTTCATGGCAATATTAATAACAGCCACCGTGTAATAAAAATCATGAAAAATATGCAAGTATCTGAATCGATAAATACCAAGCGAATATGAGTAATGTGTCTCGTTAGGTAGGTGTCGTTCGTCACGCGCATTAGTGCTGTGCTAATTTCATTTTCACAATCTCAATTTTAAAGTTCTATGAAATATATATTTATTATATTTTTAAGTATATTTAAAATTTAGAACCAAATAAAAGGAACTTCTCCTGTCTCAATATCATTACTTTTTTCGCTGCTATACATTGTTAGGTAGGATTTACATAATTTCTAAATGTTGTTATGACGATAAAATACATTAGTAAATATATTACCAAATATTAAAAAGTAACTTATTACACACCTATATTTAGATATATAAACGGACGAGTTGTAGGTATGCAATATATTTTTATTTGTTTAAAAAATCATTGTTCTATAATCATAAGATTCAAATTTCTAATTACAACACCTATTTAATTCTATCTTATTAAGAAGTCATTAGGAAATTTTGTAATTTTAAAAGCACAAAACAGGATAAATAACAGTTATCAACAACCAATTAATTGCTTATTTTATTGCATCTTTCGTTTTATTGAGTCTTACGAATAGTGTTAAATTTGGGTACTCAATGTTTATTTTGCACTATTCCATTATTTTACTTTAATTTCTATTATTTATTTTTTTCTTAATATACCCTTTGAGCAAGTCTAAATACCACTCATAAAAACAAGAAGATTTAATAGTTACTTAATAAGTTCCTAGTTAGTTTAAGATTAACATAACTATGTCATATTTGTTATGTAACTAATTGTTTTAATTTTTTACGCAACTATTAGAAATGATACTTGGGTATTCAATTTGAATAGAACAAAATTACTGTTTTTTACGCAACTATTAGAAATGATACTTGGGTATTCAATTTGAATAGAACAAAATTACTGTACTACACGACTATATAGTCGTATATAGACTATATAGGCGTGCTACACGACTAGAGATCTCGCTACCCATATGAGTAGCGAGATCTCTAGTCGCGCTGTGATAGGTCGGCGACCGCGCGTGAATATATTCTAACTGCGAACACACAAATTATATGTAAATGGTATAAATATGTGGAACGACTAAATTTAGTTGCATTCTTATTATGATGAGCGAATCTATTCGATATAGAGATATCATGTCGCCTTTTTTACTATTGGACTACTTATCTAATGGTACCAAGGGATAGAAATAATTAAAAAATAACATTTGATTCTAACTGCGAATCCAACTATTTAACTACTTAGGCAAAGTGACAGCCATTTGTCTAGCAGAGCCCTAACCCATTATATTTTAAATCACAAGTCGACTTTATTTGGCATACAAACATTTACGACAATAATATTTTAAATTTTAAATTTAACGTGCATGCATTTTTTTTATTTAGTCATTCGTAATACTCCTAAAGCATTCAATAAACTTCTCGTTTACTTGTTCCTTTCAAGTTTTGGAGGAAGTTATACGAAGATCTAAGTGCACGACTACACGCTCGTGTATATAATCCACATAGATAGTTTTCTTAATTTATGGTAACCATTTCTCCTTTAAGGCCTTAATTGAAGACGAACCATGAAAATTTTATGACCTAAATTGTATTCTATTTGGCATATCTAAAAGTATTGTAATTAATATGTTTATTATAGGATATCTGTCAGAGATTCATATGTTTTACGATCATATGTGATTAATGGTTTTGTACCGCTAGTAGAATCAATAGTAGCCATCCCCAGTTTAGAAGTTTCCTTTATTAAATCAGCAAAATTTTTATATGTCTCTCCGGTAATCTTATCAAGTTTAATTTTAAGTGTTGGTTTTTTAAACTTAACTGTCCTTGTGTGCCACACCAATATCTTCGTGCAGTTGTCTGCTAGAGGCTCTATGTCTTCAATTTTCAAACCTAAGCTGACGAGAAACTTGTCTTCCTCATGTCCGGCTATGTAAGGCATACTGGCCGTTGAAGTGAGGTACTCGATATTAACAGCAAAACCTGCCATATCCACAGGAAATGTTCTTGAACCCGGCCAAGAGTCAAAAAATCCGGCGACCTGTATAAATACAATGACCACATGACTCATATCAAAAAATATTCAAACCAAATCTGAATGTCTTTATTATTTAAGTGAGGTTAGGATCTATATTTTCATTAAGAGTTACAAATATTCGCCTCGAAATAATATTTAACAAACAATGCAAAATATAGTGAAGTTTTATGTATATTTACTTTAAAGAGATTGTAGATACTGTTACCACTGATATTAATTTTAATGGACAACCAATATAATTAAAAAGTTTATCAATAACAATGATGAATTGCCGAAACAAAATAAACTTGTATCATCGGCGTACAAGGTTTGGTCACCTTAATATAATTTCAGTTAGGTTATTTAGGTATGATTAGAAATAGCAACTAGTGTAAGATTGAATCTTGTGACACACCATATATTTTTGATTGGTTTTAGTAATCACTTTAGGCTTTTCTCAACCCACCAAAAACCCTTACAGTGTACTGTTACAGGGGTGGTCAGAAATAGCTTTTTTAAATAACTTATTTTACTTTACACTTCGTTCTTTTGTATGAACAACACTTCGTTCTTTTGTATGAAGAATGTTTTGTCCAACGGGAGTCCAATCCAAAACTAACTTTAATTGATACCACTATTGTATTCAAGCTCGGTTTCCTATTGTATGATGACAATGCAATAGGAAACAACATCTATGTTACGTTTTTCATTTTAATAGTAACTAATACAAGTAAGGTATATTATAACAGTACCCTCAGCTGGGACCTGGCAAGCCAGCCAGACAGTAACACCCTTTCATATGTTAAAATTATTAATATTTTTTTACATATTAATATTAATATTTTTTATACACTTTATTACTTTATCTGAATCCTTTTTGTTATAAAGTCATCTTTTTAAACAAGTCTCTCCAAACAAGCTATATATATAGGACACCACAAAAAAAAATCCCATAATATTTCTCTATAAACATTCCGTAATCAAAATTTATAAAAAATTGAGCTCTTAAAAATTAAGCAAAGGTATATATATATATATATGTATACTACCTTTCCATCCTTAATAATAGGCGATGATACTCCATAACCGCCAATGAGTCCCACGGGGAACATGGACACTTTCTTAGTTAATCTCATTTCTTCAAACAATTCCAAGTCAATGGTGTTATCATCATCACCAAAGTATAGTATACCTTCGCGAACATTGTGACGTATCCAATCAAGAGCAGCCCGACGGTTTGCAACACCCCGCGGAAAGTTGTTACTTCTGTAGTGGAATGGCTTGGGACTTGCAATATGTGTAAAAGGTATGCCTGATTTCCTGCAATTGTCATTTTATTGATAATATTTTTTTATATTTAAGATCTATAATTTGAGCTTTTAGAAACAATGTTAAATAAATAGGCTGGATCTATTAGATATTTATCACCCATAGGTAGGTATATTTTTTACGTATTCAGTCATCGAAATAGTTAACTATAACATATTGATGCTGGAAATTGAACACGTAGTAACCCGCAAAACCAAAATTGTTCTTCAGAGCAGAAAAACTTTCATTTTTTTTCGATAAATAATTCCTATAAACGTACATGGTAACAAATTAGTTAGTAAAACAAATAAGTATTCAAAGTCAAAATAATCTTTATTCAAATAGACTTCTTAAAAGTACTTTTGAATCATCCAGCATTTTTTTCCCTATCACTCGTTCAGGACGTATTAATCAATTTATAAATTAGATATTTTTTTTTGGAAAAATATAAAGTTTTTCCACTCTAAATATCCATTTTGGTTTTGCAGGTTGCTACGTGTTTGCTTTCCAGCGTTGATATGCACATTATAGAAAATACAATACAAATGAGAATTTATATGTCAACTGCTAATATGTATACTACGCATTCGAAAATGTTAAAATATTTTATTATGTAGATTATGCTTCGAATTGATACATTTATATTAATTTGAAAATTAATAATTAAAAAGAGAATTAGATCAATTTTAATAATAAAAAAAGAGGAAACATTCGACCGTTTGTTTGCATTGAAACCATGTAGCTTATTAACTTTTTTTTATGGAAAGCAACATATTTCCTTGGTGTAATTTTGTTGAAGAGGTTTTAGTTCAATTAGGGTGGGTATCTGAAAGCGCTTATAACTTTATTTATATTAAAAAAATAATGTGGGTTACCAGTTATTAGTCAGATATGGTGCCAGTTATGAACCAGTAAATAAAAGAAACACTTTTAATAATGACATTAATTAAGTTTTAATTCTGTCTTTAAATTTTATATAAAGCTATAGATACTTTTATTTAAACAGTAGTGTGGGAATACTACTATTTTCACAACATTTAAAATGTCAAGGTCTATCAATATTTCAGTTTCAAATTTATACAGAATAGATTCTCCTTTTCATATCAATATTTTTGTATTCTAAAGAAGCCTAAATTTTTTATACTCATGTTTTCTGTTTTCAGTCAAATTTTGTTTATGTCTTTCTACCAATATGTAATATATATGTATCAGTTTGAGGGCATAATGTAACTATGAGGTAATGAAGGCACATACCTCAAAACATTTTTCACTACTTCAGAGCATGTTGGTTGATCATCTGCTATGACCCAATGTATACGGGGCACATGCATTAAGGTATGAGAGAGTCTTGTTAATTCGGGTATTTGCTCCGGCCTTGGATATGTTGGTGTGATATAGTAGATCATTTTTAAATCTGTCTTATTATTCATCTGTATTCTCTCATCATTCATACTAACATAACACAGTTTGTTTTTTACTGGAATTGTTTTTACAGCTAAACTGGTGAAACTGTAAACATATAATATTTTAACTGCAAAGTATTATTTTCTCTGTGGTAAATTTTTAATTTATCATGAAACCTTACTATACATTTGTAGGTAAGCGAAAGTTTGTTGTATTCCATTTAATTAAACTAAATATTGAATTATCTTGAACACTTACTTGAGGATTCCCAAGTCAGACCAGAAGAGTAATGAAAGAAAAGTGCATAATAAAATAGCCATTACAAATATTTTTTTAAATAAGTTAATTGAACGCATTCTAGTGTCGAAAATTGTACATCTACTATTTCTATTAAATTTCTTAAACGCTTTAATCTTTGCATTACAAAAATATAAAACTTCCATAACTTCACATGTTTTGACAAGCTTCAAATACTACTCCTTCTTCTTCTTTTTTATTTAATAGCTATCTGCGCATTTCGCACAATTCTGCCAATGTCAAGTAAATAAATTATTTTTTACATGTAAAATGAAAATGAAATGAATGAAAGGTAAGGAATAAATAATGAGTTTACAAATACTAATATAAGACTTTAGTATATGTTATATAAGTTGAGTTTATATCGTATTAAAAAAACTAAATTTACTCTTTGCGACACAAACCACAAAGCCACATGGTTGGTTGGGCTGATAACCCTACACTGGGAGTGGATATTCAACGAACATCGATATATATTTCTTTATTCATTCCCTTTGGAACAGGCTAAGGCCAGCAAAATTCTATTGATTTCCATAGCTTTTTAAAAACCTTTCACTTTCATTAAGTTAGTTTCCACTTTCCTATGACAAATGAAGCTGAAGAACGTAGCTTCGTTTGTATTGCATAAGTCGTAGTGATTGAATTTAAACTCTATATTAACCCGAGTTATCTCATTCATAGCAACACCGACAATACTATGCATTGTATGTATGCTAACAATTCTATTCTCTTTATGCATTGGTCGAGAATGAGGAAGTATTTAAAAAAAATAAAGAAACTACAAAAATTTATGTCTCTAGATGGCAGCACAAATTGTTGGATCCAAACGTCAATGAGGAAGTATTTAAAAAAAAATAAAAGCACTAAAAAAGCACTTCCACTAGATGGCGACTATAGCTAAAGTTGATTTTTGCAGGAAACGACCGGACCAAAGACAATCACTTCCATTCCTTATTAAAAACTGAAATTTGAAAAGTTCGAAACTTGATATCGAAACAAATACGAAAAAGTACAAATAGAATATGAGTTGTTTATTCAGTTTTGACAACTAATTTACTTTTAACCTTGAAAGAAAACCGGAAAGGTTGTCATGGAGAAATCAGGAACGTACCGTAGCGACATCTAGTCTGACTTCAGGAACTAATGGTTTTTTTTAAATAATTCTTCATTACAAAATTTGCCCCAATTTAAATTAAAAAAAAAAGTCTATTTAAACGTGTTTCTTCGATATAACCGACTTATGTTTCTACAAATAAATATTTCCGTGCAATGCATGCAATCAAAATATTCTATGGGAACTTAATTTGGCAAAATAAAACTTTATTTAGAAGACTTTGTACACGTTTTATTGAAATTCCCCATGTGTAGTTTTTTTATTCTTTATTTATATTGATAATACTAGCTATTCACATCTGTACACGAAGCTTACATCTGTACAGTCCATCATGTGGGAAGCCGCGTCAGCCGACAAGTCATGCAGGACTGTGTTTGAAATAATTAAGTACGATGGGGTGTTTTTTTTTTTTGCCACGCACCTAGCTTTTTTTTAATATGCACAATTTAAGTAAAATTAAGTATTTAGTAATTTAGTAGAGCAAGTGATCTCTTTATGTCCGTCGCTTTTGTCTTGGATAAGCCTGAAGTGCTGTTGAAATAATTGATTTATTTTCATTTGATAGGTTGGTAGTATTGGTTAAGTCTTTAACTTCGGTGTGGTGGTGCGATAGTGATTGCGCGTAGTGTTATTGTTTTGTGGAAAAAATTGTGAATCTTAACTAAATTCTGCACTATTTCCTATATAAAAAGACATCTAAATATTAGTCGTTCCTGAACTCTGTTTTTCTTTGCGGAATATGTCATTCTTCAGCGTGGTAAGTAAGATTTAAAAGCTACATCAACATCACCTTAGGGCGGTACAATAGTTCAGTAATTGTCAGCATTTCATAATTTTATCTTACTTTTTATCAATAAAAATGGTCATATTAGTTGTATATTGCTAATAAACGACTAATTCAAAGTCGTTTTTCTGACTTATTCCTTATAGGACGACTTTTTTGATGGTTTCGGATATGCATCCTCCATATTTTACTGCTACGTGCATGGTACCAACTACATAATTCTATGTAGATATCGAGACATTTTTGGCTTCTTAGAACGATATTATGACGCTAAGGATCATAATTTACAATCATCTTTAACTTTAACAACATTCTTTTTTTATTTGTAAAAATCTACTGTGTTATGTATGCAAGTGTTACATGTATAGCTATATACAATGCTGGGAATCCTTCAATGACCAACCACTGAAAAGTGATACATAATAGTAGACAGCTATAGTTAGGATATGAGGTATAAATTTTCATATAACAGATATCATGTACATCAATTTTGAATACCTATTATAAACCAAAAACTTTCTTAAGATTGTGCTTGACAATGAATTTTAATAGAAAACTGAAACCTAATAATGCTAAATAGCTACAAATACACATATATTTATCTTTTAAAACTAATAAAAACATGATTTTGTAATTAAAATTGAATGGATTTTGTTGCTCATAATGTTACTTGGCATTAAGCAGCAATTGGAAAGCATTGTCTAATTTTTGTTTAAAAGTATTTCTAACTCTGAATAAGTATCATAAAATATAGATAACATTTCAAACTTTCCCTTTGTAATTGATGTTTGGCACAAACAGTAAAATATTTTTTTTATTTAATTTGACAGTATGTATTTTGTGTGTTGTGACCAGTCTCAAACAATTTATCCAAATAATTATCAACTAGTAACCTATTACAACTTAAAATTTAAAGAATCTATCTATATATTCAATCTAAAATATCATCAATAATCTTGTATGCATGTATTGTATAGATCTTCACGCATTTTACAAGAGCTTTTAAGTAATTTTCTATTGCATCTATGGGAAGAAATATTTATGTGATATTATATTTGCTGGCAGTAAACAAGTGTTCTTTTTTTTATTTGCCTGTAAAAATCAAACAGAAAAGGCTTCAGTATGTTAACAGAAGGTATTATTTACAGTTTAGAAAAGTAACCATGAACTACATACACTACCGGTCAAAAGTTTGAGACCACTAATAGAAAACTTTTGTTATAAGTAAATATTCTCAAAATATTGGTGATAAAAAGTAATCTGCACACCTGCATATTCAATTGTTTTTAAAGATTGCCTAAAAACATTATTCTTCTGTATATTAGACAATGGAAGGGCCATAAACGAGCATTCTTTTCAAACTTCAATGTGAGCCGAGGAAAAGATAGTCCGATAACCAATTGTAAACATTTTATTACCTCATTACCGCAGCTGAAACTTCGTTTTTTTTTACATCAACTTACAATGCGATTGTTCTATGTTCTTAAAATATGTTTAAATTTTATTTTAACCCGATATTTTTATGGTTATCTACGAATACCCGCTGTTAGTCTGATTTTGTGATTTCTACAGTCGAGACGTCTCTAAAATGGGAAAAGTTTGTGAAATTAGTATAGAAACGAGATCTGCCATCGTTGTTCTCCATAATGAAGGCAAATCTGAACGTGAGATTGCATCTCAACTTAAGTTATCAAAGACATGTGTTCATCGCACTATTGTGCGGTACAAACAAACTGGCAGTAATCAAGATCGTCCGCGGTCCGGGAGACCAAGAGCTACTACTTCTAGTGAAGACAAATTTATTGTGGTCACCAGCAAGCGAAATAGACGCCTAACAGCCCCAGAAATTCGTGTTGAAGTGAATAAATCTCGGGAAAAACCTGTGTCGGTGTCTACCGTGAAAAGACGATTGCGAGACGCCAAGTTGTTTGGTCGCGTTGCTGTTCGAAAACCTCTTCTAAAACCGCAGAATAAGAAAAAAAGGTTACAATGGGCCCTAACCCATCGATACTGGACCGAGGAAGATTTCAAAAAAGTTCTTTGGAGTGACGAATCTAAATTTGAAATATTTGGTTCAAAAAGAAGAATTTTCGTTCGACGTTCCGCCGAAGAAAAGATGATGCCACAGTGTGTAGTCCCGACTGTCAAGCATGGTGGCGGCTCTGTTATGGTCTGGGGATGTTTCTCAGGCTATGGGACTGGAAATCTGGTTCAAATTAAAGGAATTATGAAAAAGGAGCAGTATAAAGTAATTTTGGAGAAAAATGCTATTCCCTCCGGACTAAAGTTAATCGGCAAAGGTTTTATTTTCCAACAAGATAACGACCCAAAGCATAGTTCAAAATTATGTAGGGGCTATTTAGATGAGAAACAGTCGGAAAAAGTGTTGGAAAACATGACATGGCCACCCCAAAGTCCCGATCTTAACCCCATAGAGCTTTTGTGGGAAGAGCTTGACCGAAACGTTCGGAATCAATGTCCTTCTTCACAGCAGGCCATGTGGAATGCCTTAGAAGACAGCTGGAAGAATATCTCGCAAGAGACAATAAATAAATTAATTGCTCGCATGCCAAGATTAGTAAAACAAGTAATAAAATGTAAAGGAGGATATTTTGATGAAAAATCTGTGTAAACCCTCTTGTTTGTATTTTCTTTAATAATTTAGTATTATCTTTTGTATTTTTAATTTTTTTAATTTGAAATCTTATGTATAACATGGAAATAAAAACTCTATTTCATAATAATTTAAACATGTTGACTTTTATTTGTGTTCTTATTTTTTTTTACAGCGGTCTCAAACTTTTGACCGGTAGTGTATATGACGTGTATCATACAAACATCCTTTAAGTATTTGTAGAAATTATTTTCAGCATCAAATAATATTTTTGATTAAGTAACAGTTATCCTCTATTTATTGATGTATTTCATTAATATGTTTTTTTTTTCAATACTACCAATTATATTTGTAAAACTTCTACCAAATTACTATAATATAAGGCAGTTAATTTTAATAACTTTATAACAAGTAATAGGCATGACACCTGAATAAAGATAAAATAATTTCTATTTAGTCCGTCAGACATGTGGTAGAAAAATATTGGATACATAATTATTTTAAAAATCTACCTGATGGCTGACAAATAACACTATATTTTAATTTAGATATTTTATAAATATTTACCACTAATCCATAAATGTCAAAACAGTTAAAATCCATTAATTTGTTTAAACTCTACCTATGCCAATCACTTTGCCATCCTCTACAGGTATTATATTTTGTAG